GGATACGTCTCACCTGTCAGGAGAAAAAAAAGTCAATTTGTTGAAACATCTTCACTGTAGTTAAAACGGACATTTGTTCTCAGGTGGATCTGACTCCAACTCCAACCTTCACCCTCAGAAACCTGAGAAGAAGCCCTCTATGGGACAGGAGGCTGCAAAGTTTCAAAATAAAACATCTAAAAACATTTATCAAAAAAAAAAAAAAGCTCCAATAACCCAAAAAGCTGCACATGTTCATCTGTTAACTGCACATCGGTGTTGAAATCCTCCAGAGGGGAAGCATGGTAGAGGCAGCATCATGATGAGGAGCAGTTTTATTTTATTTTATTAATTTTTTAAATAATATTATTTCATTCACCAATTACTGCAGATACAATGAACATCACAGACTAACAAAAAGAAGTACTTATATACAAAATAAATAACTGGATAGTAGAATAAATAGCAGCAACAAAAATAAAGTAAACTAACAAACAGAAAACTGAAAAACGACAAAAAATAAAATTTTCAGTTTTAATCAGATTCACTTACAGAGTTGATTGGGGACAGCTTGCACTGCAAACACAAAATCTTACCAAGTATTTTCTTTAGTTTTTAGCGAAAATATCTTAGTAGACTTGACATTAAGCAAAAAAAAAACAAAAACAACAACTTCTAACTAACTTTTAGGAATATATAGGATCTTGTTTTAAGTTAATAATTATTTAATGTTGATGAAAAATAACTTAGAACATGGGAAAATGTTATAAGAACTTTCACAAAAAAATAATATTATTGAATTATTGATTTAAAACAAGTTCTTGCTAAAAGGTTTTTTTAAATAAAGTTTTTTTTGTCTAGTTTTGAGCATAGATGTCTTGGTACACTTGGAATAAGACAAAAGTAACTTAAAAGTAACTTTTCAACAAGAGTTCGTTTTAAGTCAGTAATTTCTTAACATTGATGAAAAATTATTAGTTCTAGTGGCAGATTATTTCACTGGTAAAAATTCATGCTTTAAGTGAAATAATCTGCCAGTGGAACTAGTAATTTTTCAATATTAAGCAATTGTTGACTTAAAATGAGCTCCTACATCTTGATGAAAAGTTACTTGTGAGTTAGTTTGGTCTTATTTAAGATATTTGCACTAAACTAGACAGAAATACTTGGTAAGATTTTGTGTTTTTGCAGTGCATTTCTATTAACCTCCTAGAAAAGAAGAAAGGAAGAAATCCTCACAGCTGCGTCTGTAGCAGCATGACTACAGAGACAGCTCCGGATAACCTTGTCCTGCCTAACTTTAAGGAAAGTCTAAAAGTGGACAGGATGTCAGCAAACAGGACAGAGCTGCCGATTCTCTGCGGTTTGTCCCAGATTCTTGAATGAAAACCTTTTTCTGTGTCCTCGTGTCTGGAGACGAGCCGATGAGCTGCAGGATGTTTCAGCGGGAAAACCCGACCCAGACTCAAAACAGAGCAGAGGCTTGTTTCACACACACAGAGGAGCTCTAAGCGGCTCAGACACCTGAGAGGTGTGTGAGGCATCCAGCCGTGCGACTGGCTGACATTTAGCAGCGCAGGTGTCGGCAGATTGCCTCAGTCCCTCCATTAGAGATATCTGATGAGTCCTGAGGAGCCGCAGGTCGGCTCACCTTGGCAGAAACAGAATCCTGAAGGAACGCGGCCTGATCCCGGAGCGAAGCATCTCCTGCATTCATCTGAGTTAATCCTCCTCCAACCTCCAGCTGCAACACAGGTAAACCAACTCAGAGTTAAATCTGACACTTTCTCTGTAATTCTGTAATTCTCACACATTCCAAGTTAAAATTACATTAAATATTTGACACCCTCTGTGTTTTTTTAGTTCATTTTTGTAGACATTGGATTTAATCTCTTATTTATTAATTAATTCAATTATTTTTATCCATTATTGATTGTTTTGTTTTTGCCCTTTGAGATTTAAAGATATAAAGGGCATTATAAATAAAATCTATTATTGTTTTATATGTGCACTTTTAAATGTTTTAAACCCTTTTACCTATTATTTTTTTAAACCTACATTGTGTTATTTTATGACACATTATAGTGTATTATAATGTATTTCTTCAGCTAATGTGTTTAGTCAAAGTGAAGTTTATTTGTACAATAAGGCATCTCAAAGTGCTTTACACCTTAAAACAATTATGAAACAAAAAATAACTTTACATTTTGTCAAATGCCATCATCAAAATTATCAACCAAATATAGATTAAATAATCAATCAATGTTTTACTTGTTACTAACCAAAAGAAACTCTAAACAGGTAGTTTTTTGTTTAGATTTAAAGGAACTCAGTGTTTCGGCTGTTTTGCAGTTTTCTGGTTCCAGATTTGTGGTCCATAGAAGCTGAATGCTGCTTTTCCATGTTTGGTTCTGGTTCTGGATGCAGAGCAGAACAGCAGCAGATCTTTAATGTATTCAGGTGGCAACCTGTTCAGTGATTTATAAACTAACAGAAGTATTTTAATGTGTTAATATTCATTGTCTTGTTTTCTAATTCCATCCATCCATCCATCCATCCATCCATCCATCCATCCATCCATCCATCCATCCATCCATCCATCCATCCATCCATCCATCCATCCATCCATCCATTTCTTTACACTCTCTTCCCTTAGTGGGGTCGGGAGGCGCTGCTGCCTCTCCAGCTAACGTTCTGGGCGAGAGGCAGGGTCACCCTGGACAGGTCGCCAGTCTATCGCAGGGCTGTTTTCTACTACTTTAAAACTGTTTTCTGTGTTTCCTACAAAACCCAAAATACGACCATTGTGAAAAGCAGTCACTGGAGGTGGGGGGATTGATCTTAATTAGACCCTCTACCTGCCCCCTTTAGACGCATCCCTGCTCCAACACACCTGAACTCTCTTTTTACAGCTGCAGGATAGAAGCTCCGGACCTGGCGCCCCCGGATCAGATACAACGGATGAATGGATCAGAGAAATTGTCCTGCAATGTAAGCTCTGTCCAGAAGAGGGCAGCAGATATTAAAACGCTCACATCTGCAGCTCAGCGAACCGCCAGGTTCGGACCCGTTACTAATTATTGGCAGAGTAGCGTTGTAACTATATTTAACTGAGAAAGTATTTGGAAGAAAATATATTTTTACTACGCTGTACTTTTTACTTTTACCTGAATACATTTTCTGGATACTCTACCCACTGTGATTAACTTCACTGAAGGAAAAGCTTGTTTCACCCAGACACAGACACACACCTCCAGTGTTTTGTTAAAGTTTCAAAAACTGAAACTGGTATATTAAAAGAAACTGATTTGGAAAAATGTTTGATTCTGTTACTTTGTAATTATGTTGTTTATATGAGTTATTATTTCCTCACAGCTATGTATTTTGGTGTTAGTTACTCAGTACTTGATTAGTGGTATTTTTTTTTTGTAACCAAATACTTTTTATGTTCTTGCTTAAGAAATCTCTTAGCTACTTTTGAGTAAAAATATGTTGAAGTAGAAATACTCTAACTTCATTACAATTTTTGGTAGTCTACCAACCTAAAAGAGGAGCTCATATCCCCTACTCCAACATCTTTCTAACCATACGGCTAGAAAGAGGAGTGGCAAAAGCAAATGAGATGGACTAGCAAAGCTTGGGAACAACTGATTGTGTAACCTGGTACATTTTACTGTGGAATGTTGTCTCTGCTGCTCAGATTCTCAGCATGTCATGATAAACATTAGACTTACAATAACTGTCTTCAGTCAGAGGCTGTTTTAGATTTGTTGGAAGACTGACTGCTACTGGAGATCCTTCCTCCCTATAGCATCATCATCCACTACGACTTTTTGAAAATATTTGCATGATATGAGTTATGACAACTTTATTTTTCTTTGTGATAAATAAAGTATTTTTGATTTAAATTAATTTTCCTAAAAATAAAGTTTAATTTAAAAATATATTTTTTTAGTTTCTAAACCTAAAAATAGAAATTAAAAGGTCGTTTTAATCCAAAACAAACATCGCCGCAGGCTATTCAGAAAAACTCAACACTCTGATTGTTTAAGTGTGTGTGTTCCCTGCAGCAGCTGCAACAATCAATGTGATCATTACACAACTGGGACACCCTGACCCGGTTCTGAATGTGTGTGTGATCAGGTTAAAGGTTCAGGCCGGGGTCAGGCAGGTGGACCCCCCAGGAGTCAGCCCGGCCCAGATGGCCCAGAGCTCACCTTACAGATGGTTCCTAATAAAAGTCACAATGAGCAGCAGGAACACACACCTGGAGCAGGAACTGGGTCAGACGTGATTCATGCCCGGTTCTCCTCGGGCTGACCCATTTTCCTGAAGCTGAAACAAATGATCTGAGATGAGATTCGGTTTCTGGTGGAATCCCCAGAGAGGCGCCGTCTAACTGGGATGTATGGTTCTCTGAGCAGATCACTGCTAACCGGGGGAATCACAGTCCTGCTGGCGTGAACTGAACTAGTTCTGAACTGGAACTGGTTCAGACAGTGTTAGAAACTGGAATTCTGACTCAGACTGAAACGATTAATCGTGATTAATCGATTATTTAAATAATCTTCAACTAATTTACTAATCGATTAATTGTTAGCTGGAGTAAAAAGACTCAGAAAAATCGTCATTGCAGAAAGAACAACACACACAGAGCAGGAACTAAGACAGAAACATACAAAATATATACATTTTTAATTTAAGTTAAAGAAAAATAATTTTCTGTAAATATGTAAATAAAAACTATTAATTTCCATTTGCATCCAATAATTAATTGATTGATCTATAAAATAATCAGCAGATTTTCACATGTTGGAAATATTTTTTTTTTTTCATTTCCTTTGGCACAAAATGATCAAGTGTTCACTAAAGTACTGCTATTGAATTTTAGGCAGTAAAATCTTTATTTACTTATTGAAAAAAAATGAATTGAATTATTTATTTGCATCTTTTAAAAAGCTTAAGAAGTTAAATTTTAAAAATCTCTTATCCGATTAATCATCAAAGTAATTAATCAATTAAGTAGTAACTAAAATAATCGTTAGTCGCAGTAATAATTCTGACACTTCAGGCTTTCCGTAGAAACAGGTGGCCAGGTGAGTGCGGTCACAGCTACTGATGACGTTCATTTAAAGTCACATGATCAATGCGATCAGCTTGTGTATTGATCAGTGTTAAGCGGCCTGTAGTGTGTGTGTGTGTGCGTGTAGGTGTGTGTGTGTGGGGGGGCGGTGGAGGGGCTGGGGAGCTGAGCCGGTCAGTGCCCTCCCCCTCCCCCCCGTTCTCTCCTCTGATTGGCTGCCTCTCTCCTCTCGCGCAGCAGGCGCTGCTCCTCTTCAGATCCAGGTTGAACCCGCGCGCATCCAGGAGTCATATCGGACCCGGACCAGAACCTACAAGGATCCCGACCGGAACAGACCCGAACTGGACTCTCCTCTGTCTCTCTTCCAGCTCGGTTCGGTCGAACCCTTCCCGGTTTGGTTCGGATCTTCTTCCTCCTCCTCCTCTTTTTTTCTCGCTCTTTTGCGCATCTTGGATCTCGTTCTGTCCTGGTTCCGACCGGCATGTGCGGAGAACCGAACCGGACCAGAGCGCACCATACAGGGCTGTGAACGCAGGACCACGGCGTGCCGTTGCGCGCGCCCCCGGCCGTGCGCGTGAATGAAGAGATGGAGCGAAAAGTCCTGAGTCAGGTATGACGGGAGCGCGCAGCCGGTGAGCGCGCGTGCGTGCGTACTGCTGTTACTGTGTAGTCTGACCTTGTGAGATCCAGAACCCGGTTCTGAAGAATCTGAATCCGGTTCTAGTCACTGCAGAGACGCACGCGCTCATGTTGCAGATAAAAATCAGCTGCTTTCATGTTTACTGGGTAAACTAAACCCAATCTGAACAGAACCAGTACCCATCATCAGCAGGTAGTTCAGCTGGATCCGTGTCGTTCTTTTCTACTGAACAGATCCGTTCCTTTCAGGTTCTGGTGTTGCTTGGAGTTCTTTCAGGGCCCAGTTTGGCTCTGGTTCTGGTGAACCCGGTCCAGGTTGATGGAGCATCAGCAGGACAGACTTCTGTTTCAGGAACGCGGACCGACCCAACCCGGACCGGTTCTGGTTCTGCAGAGCATCAACAGTGAACCGATAAACTAGAATAACTTTAGAAACCAGATCCAAACGATCAGCTGGTTCTGATCTGGGCTTTGACTAGACCGTTATAACACATGACTCTGCTTTGATCTATACCATCCCAGAATATCTCTGCTGCTGCCCTCAGCATGATGCTGCCACCACCAGGTGCTTCAACCACATGCTGTGATTTTCATTAGGGGAAAAAGTTCTGATTGCGTTACAAACATTTATTGGGCCTGCCGCACTTTTCAGATTCCTATCCGTTAAAAGAAGTCTGGATTGGTTATTGTGTGTGTGTGTGTGTGTGTGTGTGTGTGTGTGTGTGTGTGTGTGTGTGTGTGTGTGCAGCAGATGGTCGGGTTCTGGGTCCGTCTATAGGGAGTCACATTGAGCAGCAGCTCCAAACAGATTCAGTTTGATTCACGTTTCAAAAAGAAAATAAAAATCTA